TGGCATTTTTTACACATCCTTGTTTTGTTTGACCTCAGCTCTCATATGTGATGAACAGACCGGTTTAGTCTCTTACTGTTTAACAGTTGTGGCTGAGGGAGGGCTGAAAGAGTTACAGGTGAGATTATTGATCGACGGAAGGATCTGCGTTTCCATATTTGCTTGTACAATACAGTGGAAAGGTCAATTTCTGACTAATAAAACTAACATGTTATTGCATTTTGAAAATGAACTTATATTCTCATAGCGTAGTTGACAAATGCATTTAATTAACATTTTTTTAGATCCTGTAACAAATCGAAATGTCTTTTCATAGACATTTTTTTTTGTAAGTATCATTTAGCTATTGCATTTTAAATACTATTTTTTGATGTAGTTTCTCAATTATTATGAAACTATAAAACATGGTGTGCAAAGTGTATAAAATAGGACATCACAAAATAGGACATTGTTACTGCCTGACATATCATACCAAATGTTATAATGCATGGATTATCATACACAATGCTTTTTTTCTTTTTAAATAAAAACTGAAAAGAATCTCAGGGAGATATTTTTTGTAGGGCTGTCAACTTCATCAGAGGAAAATAAGGGACAAAGTCAGTTTTCCTTTAGGAAAATAAGGAACATTTTCATCTGTACCAGTGTTATTATAGTTAATAAAACTAAAACCATAAAAAATTGTTACTTGAAATAAAATAAATGTTTTTTTGTTAGATTTTTTTTTCTGTTTTATTGTAAAACATGCATTTAAGATTCAAGAGCTTTATTGTCACAATGAAATTCTTACTTTGTTTACTCCTCTCGAGAATGAGAACAGACATAACTTACAAGGACAATACAAAATACATAAAAATATAGACTATACAGTAAAGTATAATAATAATAGCATAAAAAAAGAAAGTAATGAAAGAATGTATTTAATTTTAATTCAGGACTGTTGGCTACATATATGTGAGCTTTTTCTCTGCTTAATATCTGGTAATCTTGCTTATTTTACAGGCTCTGCTGAAGGTCACTGTGTCACTTTGGACAGAAATGTCTATATCAGAATCCTAAAACCTGGAATATGTCTTATTTTCACCTTCCGTCGATTTAATGTTACATATTGCTTCTACTATTGTGAATGCTGACTAAAAGTATCATGCAAAGCATGTGAAAAAAATATTCAAATATCCACAAAACTTTTCTCACTCATCCTTCCGTCAAACCTTCCTGTCCTACAAGCCCACTTCATGTCCATTTCTTCCTTCCTGAATCCTCTGTCCTATCACACATCAGGCCATGCTACGCAAGAGAAGTCCTCTTATCATTTGTGGTGCTTTCATATTTGTAGCCTGGAACGTTATTCTTATTTTTGTCCTCATGAGACGCCCTTCCACCCGAGGGGCTCTTGACAGCCCGGATGAACCTGGTAACACGGGAGACGGAGCCGGAGGAGGCCAGTTTGGAAATATAATGAACGAGGTGATGCGTGTAGCTAATGCATTTGAAGCTGAACTTGAATCGCAGAAGAAGATCCTATTGCAAATCCAGAACCATTGGGCGGTTTGGGAGAACAAAGGCGGTGTGTCAGCTGCTAAGCCAAAATCACAAGCCGAAAATTCAGCTCCGGCGGTCATCCCTATTTTGGTCATTGCCTGTAATCGTGTGACGGTGAAACGCTGCCTTGACAAACTCATTGAGCACCGACCGTCTGCTGAAATTTTTCCAATCATAGTGAGCCAGGACTGTGGACACGCAGAAACATCTGACGTGATCGCCTCGTATGGCAGTCAGCTGACTCATATCAAACAGCCGGATCTCTCTGATATCTCAGTACCTCCACAGCATAAGAAGTTCCAAGGTTACTACAAAATCTCCCGGCATTACCGGTGGGCACTCAACCAGGTTTTCAACACCTTTTCATACTCCTCGGTTGTTGTTGTGGAGGATGATTTGGAGGTAACTTAATTTTAATTCATTATAAGAAAAGTTAATCCAAGATACACAAGGAGAAATTTGGGTTGCACTTTATTTTACAGTACGTGAACTTGCATGTACTTACAGTGTAATTATAGTGTACCTACCTAAGAAAGTACTGGTAATATAAGGTAACTACATGGGGTAGGGTTAGGTTTAGGGGTAGGTTCAGGGTTAGTACCTAGTTATTACCCAGTTATTGTAATTACTATAATAAGTATAGTATGTACATGAGTAACAGGACTGGAAAATAAAGTGCTACTGAAATTTTTAAGACCGTTTTCTACTTTCTTTTCCATACAGAGTATCATAAAATGTTTCCTATGACCATCTTCATGAAAAAAAACCCAATACTTTCATGTGTGTATGTGTGTATTCTATCTATCTATCTATCTATCTGTCTATCTGTCTGTCTGTCTGTCTGTGTCTGTCTGTCTGTCTGTCTGTCTATCTCTCTCTGTGTGTGTGTGTGTGTGTGTGTGTGTGTGTATATATATATATATATATATATGAAAGAGGATTAAGAAATAAAATTAACAACAAAGTAAAAAAAATAAAGATTCAAATACAAATGATTTAAATATATATTTTTAAATTTTATATATGATGTATTACACAGAAGAACGTAAATCGTAAAATAATAAAAAAATAATCATAACAGATGATTAAGAAATAAAATTAACAATAAAAAATAAATAAAGGAAGCTTTAAAGACAAAAACTAATTATTTAAAATATAATAAACAAAGTTAATCCAAATATGATACATATGTAAAATATGAAAAAATAAAAAAATGATTTCAAAATATGATTTTTAAAACTATTTTTTATACAAAGAAAAGTAAAAATGGTTCCTATGATCATCATCATTTTGTGTGGTTTTATGTGTGTATAACAGATGATTAAGACATACAATTGACAATAAAAAAGTAAAAATGATAGATAGTCAGACAGACAGACTGATTGATTGATTTTGGGTGAATTATTCATTTAAAGATGTCACAAATTTTTATGTGAATTTTATTTTGTTGATGGTATGTTTGATCTCTTTCACCAGGTGGCCCCTGATTTTTTTGAGTACTTCAGAGCACTTCATCCAATTTTAAAATCGGACCCGACTCTGTGGTGCGTGTCTGCCTGGAATGACAATGGCAGGGAAGGATTTGTTGACCCTGGAAAAGCGAGTCTGTTGTACAGGACAGATTTTTTCCCAGGCTTGGGCTGGATGCTCACAAAGGACCTCTGGGCAGAGCTTGAGCCAAAGTGGCCAGCCTCGTTTTGGGACGACTGGATGCGCCACCCCGATCAGCGCAGAGACAGGTCCTGCATCAGACCAGAAATTTCCAGAACTTTAACATTCGGTCGGAAGGGTGTGAGTTTGGGGCAGTTTTACGACAAGTACCTCCGCTTTATTAAGCTGAATTCCGAATTTGTGCCTTTTACAAAAATGGACCTTTCTTATTTAGAAAAGAAGAAATATGATGAGAGCTTTGAGAAGGAGGTTTACAGTGCTCCCGTTGTCACTGTGGAGGACTTGCAAAGTGGGAAACTGTCTGGGTCTGGTCCGTTTCGGGTGCAGTATTCCAGTCCTGACCGTTTTAAAACATTGGCTCGCAATCTTGGTGTGATGGATGACCTGAAGTCAGGAGTCCCACGAGCAGGGTATAGAGGTGTAGTTAGTTTCCTTTCACGTGGAAAGAGGGTCTATTTAGCTCCACCTGCTGGTTGGAGTCAGTATGATCCGAGCTGGAGTTGAGGTGGGCTGTGCCTGCATCACAAGAATTTCTTTTAAGGTGCAAAGCATATGAAAATTATATCGCATATTATCTGTCACCATCATTCCCTTCACAGAGAGCAATTGTCTTAAAATTCCATTGTGCTGCTTTATGATGGAAAAACCTCTAGTTGGGGTTTCAGGATGATACCAAAGATAAAACCATTAATTGATCACTCAGATTTTTGCCTCAGGTTTCATTATTTGTCGGTATGAAGTTAACTAGGATTTATGTGAGAACTTTGTCACGTAAGATGCATCATTAAACTGACAGATAAAACCTAAATCTTATGCTGACCATACATGTTTTTCACACAAAGTATACTTGTTCAGGAACTCAAAATGAGAGTAAATATGTTAAAAAAAATAACACTTATTTTTTAATACTGTGAATCCTACTCTAAGTGCCTATAAATGTATAATTTTTTGATTCACCTCTGTGTACTGTCTTTATTAAATTGTGTGTACGGTTCATGGCATAGTGTTTGGAATATGTTAGGAAAAATCATTTGACACTTGATTATGTTTTGTGTTTTACTTTTACTTATATACTGGGATATTTTGAAGAGGAAAATAATTTTTTTGTTAAATTTGATGACTCATTTCTTGCTTATCTAAATAATAATGCTAATAAAAATAATTCACTATCAAAACAATTGTTATTATTCACCTCATTTAGATGTAGTAATTCAGCAAAATTACAGGAGGAATAAACATGCAATTTATAATAAATGAACAATCGTTATTATTATTATAATTATTTACAATTAGCAGGCTTTCAAATGAGGAAAAACAAAAGTATTTACAATAATAATAATAACAGTAATAATATGTTTCAATTCAGTGCTAAACATAAGTTATTTACACATAAAAAGACATCCAAATAATGAAAACATACTAATACAGAGGGTTTAGGAAAAATAAATAAAAAATAAGACAGCAGTTCTTAGTTTCACGTTTCCATTTTGCAAATAAAATTGTATATCTAGATGTTTTGTTAGCAATACAATTAAGAGAGTCAATAAACAGAGAAATTCAACCCTAAATACCCTAAAACATGGTTTAGAAATAGGCTACTCGTTTTGCTTTTGTGTATGAAATTTACCAATTATTATTATTATTATTAGCCACACAAATTATTATTATTATTATTATTAGCCACACAAACGAGTCATTACGTGCGTCACCAAAGGCTCCCACGCTATTACGTTACACGAATGTTACACAACGTCAACTACAGTAGCTCAGAAAGTCCTAAAGGGTTTGGTTTCGCGTTTTCTATTTACCTCACTCGTGTATCACATTCCGTATTATTGAATGGCGGAGGGAGAGCGATGTTAGCCATGGGGTAAATCTGAAGCAAAAGAATGGACTTTTGGCGATTATTTGTCATGTAATCTTCATATTATTCAATTTCATGGCACTTTTAAACTCATCAAACCGGTTTATTTATTTGCTGATAACAGTTAGTCATTTGCAGTGGCGAGCAAGCTAAAAAACTACGACAGAAAGTAATGAAGGGAAAGACATTTAAAATATAGTCAAGTAAGGTTACTTCTCCGTTTCGCTTCCGATCTGACAGTTTTCGCTTTGTTAATCGTCAACATTTGATCTCGGCTATACGAAGAGGCCTGTAAATGGATCCAGCGGTTTTGCGTGAAAGTCCTGCGGGTTCAGGAGCACCTTCAGTGGAGGACAGAGGAGGAAATCAGCCGGAGGAGGTGACAGATGATAGCAGAGAAGCTGATGGGGAATCCGAGGAGACCGAGATGGAGGGTAAAGACTCTAAAAGGCAAGATGAAAACTCACTACATGAAAAACTGACTGAGGAGGAATTAGATCCAAGAATCCAGGTAAACTGAAATTCAGTCAACGCGTTTTAGTAAGATCTCACACGACACCGTTTATATATATATATATATATATATATATTAATAAAAAACAAGCCCCGCCCCGTAGAAGACTATTAAATGTCGGGTAAAAACCTAATTAATAAATGATTAACAAATATTTTAGATGCTTAACAGCTTTGTAGTTCATGAACATTGTTATGAATGTATGCTGATCAATAGGCTTTTCTAAGTATGTGTATGTGCACTGTAAATGTTTATTCTTTACTATTCTTTACATGTTTTATCTATTACTTTTTTCATTATCATGTCAGCAGAATCATTAATTATATTTTATATTCTTTGACAAATCTAAAATATCTTTTATCTTATTTTAAGTCACCACTCTTTGCCTAAATTCACAACCTATGCACTTTGGGCATGAATATGATATAATATTGTTGTAATAATAACTAATAATAATGTTGGTTATGATAAAGTTTCACCAAAGGCTTTTTCATGGAATTTATTATAATCTCAGTTACTGTGGGTCACCCTTATTTTGGATTGAACCTGCAACCTTAAGTTAGCCGTCAAGATCATTTTACATTAGGCAACTGTGACCTGCTGTATCTGTTTCTGTATCTAGGAGGAACTGGAGCGTCTGAATGAGGCCAGTGAGGAGATCAACAAAATGGAACTGGAACTGCAAGTATGTGGAAGTTCAGAATGCTTTTGGAATTTTTTGTCCTAACCTCAAGGACATTTGGGACTGTTATGCTTTTAAAAAAATTTTTTTTTTTTTAAGTATATACTAATTATTATGGCTTATTGTCATTTAATAGACACTTTTAATACAGCGTAAAGAACTAATCTCAGGTTTTAGGTAGACTGTACTTTGGATCAAACCTGCAAACCAGCCCAACTCAATAATTGAATGTTACGCAACCACATCCAGTGTTATTTCTGTATCATAAGATATAATAATAATTTTTTTTAAAAATATATTTTGAATTAATTTTTGTTTTTATATTTTGCATTCCAAGTTTAAAGTCTGAAGTAATTTTAATGTGTTTGTTATTTGTTGTAATGTAATTAGTTATTTTTTAATGTCTATATAATTTTTATTAGTTTTTATTTTGACTTTAGGTTTAGCACATCAAGATAAATTAAATTAGTTTTAGTTAACTATAATAACCTTACCACCACCCCATATAATGCAGATAAGGCTTATATGATTCTCTCTCTCTTAGGTCTTCTTGCTTGATGCACACACTTTTTTTTATTATTAATTTGAATTATGAATGGTATGCGCAATTTGTGTAAAAACGTTCTGTTTGTGTTGTCAGGAGGTTCGGTCCAGCCATAGGAGGATAATGAGTGAATCTGTGCTTAAACTCAAGGCGAAAAGTTCAGAACTGGGGTCCTGCATCGAGAAGGCCAGGCCGTACTATGAGGCACGAAGAAAAGCAAAAGAGGTGGAAGAACACTTATCCTTACTTTAGCATTGAGAAAAAACAGTTATAATTAATATGAACAATTAAAATCGTTATTTAGTTGTGGAAAATGGCTGTTTTATGCCAAAACATCATATTGTATTTTTGCCTGTTTTTCAAAGGCTACTATCACAAACTTCACCTAATGAAATCCTATTGTCTCTTAAATGCATTATGATTGGTTTCACCCATTTTAGGCCCAGCAGGAGACCCAGAAAGCCGCACTCAGCTTTGAGAGAGCCGTGTCCATGCACTCGGCTGCTCGAGAGATGGTCCACGTGGCTGAACAGGGCCTCACTGCAGTCAAGACACTGGATCCAACCTGGCAAGAGATGTTGAATCATGCTACCTCAAAGGTATGCCGGTCTTCTCTCCAGCGTATCTTACCAAGTTGTACCAATCTTGGACGTTTGTTACATGATCAAATCATGCAACAGATTTTGTTAAAAACTTTTTTTCTTTTTAATAAGTCTGTTATGCCCATTATAAGGCTGTATCTAATTGATTAAAATACAGTAAAAATATTGTGAAAAATTTTACAATTTAAAATAACTGATTCTAAATGAACCATTCTAATATGCTGATTTTCTGCTTAAGAAACATTTCTGATTATTATCAGTGTTGAAAACACTTGTGCTGCTTAATTGTTTTGTGGTATTTTTGTGTTCAAAAGAACAGCATTTATTAAATATACAACTTTTGTGACATTATGTCTTTAGTCACTTTTGACAGTACTGACAATTTAATGTATCCTTGCTAAATAAGTATTAATTTCTTTAAAAAAATAAATCTTACTGTATATGCTGCACAAACAAAAGCCTGTATGACTTTTATGTACATGAAAACATGAAACTAATGCACCATTAACCCTCCATATGACCCATAAGATGTGCAGTTCAAAATGTTTTTTCTGTTTATGTATCCACACTGAATATATTTTGCACATGCACACACACAGCATTGCTTTAAGCATGTCATAAATGAATTGAAACTGTGCAGGTGAACGAGGCGGAGGAGGAGCGCATGAAGAGCGAACGGGAGCACATGCGTGTCACCCAGCTGTGTCAGGAGGCCGAAGCCTGCGTGCAGGAGCTGCAGAAATCGCTGAAGAGATCCATCGTCAAGTCCAAGTCTTACTTTGAGCTCAAGGCTCAGTTCAATGACATTCTAGAGGTATGTTGAGATGTTATTACACTTGCATAGATTTCACTTGCATTACACCAAGTATGAAAAATATGGCCACATACTAAAATTAAAGGAATGATTTAACCAGAAATGCAAATCCTGTCATCATTTACTCAACCCTCATGTCATTCCAAACCCATATTACTTATATATATATATATATATATATATATTTTTATTACATAGAATGAACATGAATGAAGACAGTGTAAAGTTCCAAAAGTCCTGTCCCTGCAGGTCCTTAAGAAGTCTTAAATTCAGTTTGATCAAATGTAATGCTATAAAATGTCTTAATTATAAGAAAATCTTAATTATCCCTTTAAGAGGTCTTAAATTTGGGACAGAAAAACTGAAATTGTGATATTGCCTAATGTGATTAGTACACTTCAAAGGGCTATGATTGCATTAAATAAATGTGAGAGCTTCACTTTCAAAGAACAACGGTGTCGTAGTACATTCTATAAGCTTGCGGTTTCAGAGCAGTTCACAATTTATGAATACCGTTGATGAATTGTTTACTTTATGGTATTTATATTATAATATGTTGTAGATGTTGTAAGAGTACATATTTTATCTCCCTCTTTTATCTTTTTGAACGAGCAGCTGGAAGTACTAGAAAAGCATAAATGTTTCAAAATAAGAGTTTCAGTGTGTTTCAGGTTTGCTTATATATGTAGAAAAGTCACGCATTATGCAAAAAATCTTTTTTTCTGGATATTATTGGTATTTTGGATACATAACAAGCTGTATGTGGCATTTAATTCAATATAAATTGTGACTTCTCTCATGATTTTTTTTTAAATGGATATGGTCTTAAAAAGTCTTAAAATTAATGTTAAAACATTTGCTTGTACCCTAGAAAATGACAAAAAAAAAAAAAAAAGTAAAGTACCATAGAAGGAATCCATATAACTTTAGGGCTATGTTCCCTAAAACAGCTTTTTTTTTTTTAGAGGAACAGACATTTATTTTTTAACAAATTTTAAGTATACACTGAAAATATTGCCTTCTACCACAGCTCAATATGAAGATGAGTGAATTATGACCAAATTTTTATTTTTAGACAAACTGTTCCTTTTAAGATTCTCATTTACAGTTAAACTGTCTGAGCTCAACATGGTCAAAACATGTTTTTGCAGGAGCACAAGTCAAAAATTTTACTGTTAGGGGAGCGTATTTCCAAAGCCAAGTTAAACTACTCCAGCACCCTGCGCCACCTGGAGCAAATCAGTGAGGAGATTCATGCCCAGAGAGAGCAGGACCAACCAAAGGATGGACCAATCAAAACGTGCGGTGGGCGGAGCCCTCCTGTAGGAGCAGAGACAGTCAGCAGCACAGGTACCGAAGGCGGAGCCTGCGGAGGCTACCCGAGACCAAACGATTGGGTAGATGGAAAAGAGGGCGTGGCTAATACCAGAGAGTGGGTGGAGACACATAAGAACTCCAGGTGGGTGGACATGGGAAGAGCAGACGTGACACGATCTGGTTCAGACTCTCTTTCCATCGTCAGCCTCCAGACCATCATCTCTGATCTCAAAAAGTGTGATTCGGTCGAACACCTGGGCCGCCTCAGCAGTGACATCAGTCTCTCAGGGGAAGAAGGGGAGAGAGACGGGCTGGAGAATGATAAAATGCGAATGAGGCAAAAAAACGCACACATTTCAGAGGAGTTCCTCAAACAACACATAAGAAGTGTCAGTTTATGAGTGCGTCCTTGAATAATGCTCACGTTTCATCGTTTTTAAGCTTGTTTCTGGACTGACAGAGTAACTCATAATTTTTATTTATTGTTGAGCTTTTAACAGTACTTGAAAAGGAGAAAGACCAAAAGAAAATTCTTTATATATATATATAAAAATATATATATATATTTTTTTTTTTGAGAGAGAGAGAGAGAAGGTTTTTTTACTGTTTGGTATTTCAAATCAAGTGGTAAAAGAATGACAATATTTGTAAGGGTAGCAACCCTGCAGTTTGATGAACCTAATCGTAATTACTACAATATATTTCTTTTTCATCCTAATCAGTACCTAATGTTTTTCTATGCAAATGTAAACACATATGCATATACATTTACAAACGCACACAGTTTGTTATTTTTACTTCTTGTTTTAGTCAAAATCAAAACCCTTATTTGAACTGTAAAGTTTTTTAAATTGTGTTTTTACGGTTTACTGTGTTAACACATTGCCCTATCCCACTCAGGTATTGATTTTATTTGTGCATGTCTTAAAAAAGGTCTTAAAAGGACTTAAATTTGATTTAAAAACCCTGCAGATATCCTGCATAGAACACGAGATTATGCACATAATATTAAATAAAGAGAACAATTTGCACAGAACTAAAGTTAAATAGTGATATTTATACTAAATACTAAATACTAAAGTTAATTTTTTGTTACAATGATGGCAGATTTGACATTTTCAAGGCTACTTGACATTTCAAATTCAGTCGAGACATTTTCTTAATTAAGTTGTCTTCATTCTGCTAACACCTCGTTTTTTACAGTGAGCATTGGCTTGAAAATAGGCTCTTCGAAAGGATTCATCTCTTCTCAATTATTAAAGAGCAAAGTATAAATAGACGACTGTGCCCATAACGAATAGCTTAGAGGAAGAGAAGACAATCCTGGAGGAAGGGAAAACTGAACTAAAATGTATATATCTAACTATGTGCATATGTGTTTGCACAAACATATTCACTCTCCATGCACTTTGTAAACAATGTGTTTAAAAGGTGTTATATAAATAAATAGTATTATATTACTGTTGGATATTCAAATAGAGGGCAAATGTGACTAAGAATAAAATTGTTCTAAACAGGAAAAAATGTGCTTTATGGCTTAGATTTGTGAATAAAATCTACACTTAAGATTTTTATTAAACTTGAACAATATTTTTTCTTTATATATAAATATGTGTAATTAAAATGATTGAAAAACATTGTCATCAATTACATAACACGTTATAATTAAAATGAGAGAAAATTAAAAATACGGTAAATAATCTATATAAATATTTTTAAGGATCCACATAATAATATTAAACAAAATTCTAAATAAACACACCAATAAATAATATACAAGAAAGAGGGGCAAAATACAAAATAAATTATAGAAAGAGAAAAAAACAAAAACAAATTGAGTATATAAATAATTATATTGTACACTTGGCACAGAAGATGACTCGTGATGAAAGGATGAAAAGACGTAGGCTGCGTTCCCCAGTTACGTCACAAGTAAGTGAGATTGAGGAGGGAGTGGAAAAAAAGAAGGAAGGAAGGAGGAAGGATGAGCGCTGTGTAGATAATGTTTCTCTATGTAGCCTGTGATTTACACCTGCAATGATCTAATGCAAAGCAATACAGACCCTTCTCTAAAAGCCATAAAGCAGCCCGCAAATGTGATGCACAGATTTGCACAATCAAAGCGACATCGCGCTTATATTGAGTGGATGTTATATTTAAACTCTCCGTGAACGGATATTGTGTTAGTTTCTTCGGGTCGTTCCTGCTGGAGCTGCACCGGGCCTTTGCTGTGAGTAAATCACTTTTACGTGATGTCTGCGCTTGTTTGAGTTTCGTTTGTCTTTTGCATGGGTTTTATATGATGAAGTAGCTCGCAGCTGTTTTCTCCTGCATATCTGACAGATATCGTTTGATTAACGAAAGCCGGTTGTAATATGCTTTGCACGGGACACAAAACTTCACAAACAGCGCGCTTAAATGTGCAGACGAACTACAGTACGCTGACGACAGACGCAGCCATGTTAATATTGGAAACTTCAGGGAACCGTCTCCCCGACAGCATATATTTTTAGACTAGAGAACGTCACATTGTATGAGAGCGTTATTATAAGAATAAAGCAGCAGTGATGCGTCTTTATGGGGTTCCGCGGAAAGTCCTTGTCCATGGTGCTGAAAACGTTCACCAAACGGGACCTTAACCTCTCAACAAACCATCAACCGAGCCAATATCACTTTCAAACCACTCTATCTGTCTTGTAGAGGTGTATATTTTACTGTTTAATCTCTAAACTATAACATAGCATCACAATAAGGATAATCAGAAAGCTGACTTTATATATATATGTAGAAAAGTCACGCATTATGCAAAAAATCTTTTTTTCTGGATATTATTGGTATTTTGGATACATAACAAGCTGTATGTGGCATTTAATTCAATATAAATTGTGACTTCTCTCATGATTTTTTTTTAAATGGATATGGTCTTAAAAAGTCTTAAAATTAATGTTAAAACATTTGCTTGTACCCTAGAAAATGACAAAAAAAAAAAAAAAAGTAAAGTACCATAGAAGGAATCCATATAACTTTAGGGCTATGTTCCCTAAAACAGCTTTTTTTTTTTTTAGAGGAACAGACATTTATTTTTTAACAAATGTTAAGTATACACTGAAAATATTGCCTTCTACCACAGCTCAATATGAAGATGAGTGAATTATGACCAAATTTTTATTTTTAGACGAACTGTTCCTTTTAAGATTCTCATTTACAGTTAAACTGTCTGAGCTCAACATGGTCAAAACATGTTTTTGCAGGAGCACAAGTCAAAAATTTTACTGTTAGGGGAGCGTATTTCCAAAGCCAAGTTAAACTACTCCAGCACCCTGCGCCACCTGGAGCAAATCAGTGAGGAGATTCATGCCCAGAGGGAGCAGGACCAAACAAAGGATGAACCAATCAAAACGTGCGGTGGGCGGAGCCCGCCTGTAGGAGCAGAAACAAGCAACAGCACAGGTACCGAAGGCGGAGCCTGCGGAGGCTACCCGAGATCAAATGATTGGGTGGCTGGAAAAGAGGGCGTGGCTAATACCAGAGAGTGGGTGGAGACACATAAGAACTCCAGGTGGGTGGACATGGGAAGAGCAGACGTGACACGATCTGGTTCAGACTCTCTTTCCATCGTCAGCCTCCAGACCATCATCTCTGATCTCGAAAAGTGTGATTCGGTCGAACACCTGGGCCGCCTCAGCAGTGACATCAGTCTCTCAGGGGAAGAAGGGGAGAGAGACGGGCTGGAGAATGATAAAATGCGAATGAGGCAAAAAAACGCACACATTTCAGAGGAGTTCCTCAAACAACACATAAGAAGTGTCAGTTTATGAGTGCGTCCTTGAATAATGCTCACGTTTCATCGTTTTTAAGCTTGTTTCTGGACTGACAGAGTAACTCATAATTTTTATTTATTGTTGAGCTTTTAACAGTACTTGAAAAGGAGAAAGACCAAAAGAAAATTCTTTATATATATATATAAAAATATATATATATATTTTTTTTTTTGAGAGAGAGAGAGAGAAGGTTTTTTTACTGTTTGGTATTTCAAATCAAGTGGTAAAAGAATGACAATATTTGTAAGGGTAGCAACCCTGCAGTTTGATGAACCTAATCGTAATTACTACAATATATTTCTTTTTCATCCTAATCAGTACCTAATGTTTTTCTATGCAAATGTAAAAAACCCTGTCTTAATAAACACACTATTATTATAATCTCTATAGCTGACATGATAAAATAAGGCCGTTTTGCTTTATACTTTTCAAATTTTACTGACCACTGGTGAGCTTTAGTTCGCTTACTGACATAATCACACTATTTGCCATTAATCATTAGCTAATTTTAGGCTCTAAAATTCCACTGTTATTTTTCTTAATTTAAAATGTATTTTATTTTTACATTAGTCCCATGCTGACTTTGAAATAGTGGTTTACAAAAAGTGCTTTGTGTCCAAGTGAGAAATGCATGCATGAGGTTTGCTTTATGTTAGTCTTGTTTGCATTAGTGCACTCTGGCCTTTTCATCAAAAGAAACATTTATTCCAACCGAAATACAGGTTTTGTATTGTTGGAGAGATGAAGCGTTTATTCTCAATTGCAGGGTTTTTAAAATACCTGCCGCTGAACATTTGATGTTTTTGCTGTTTATGGCAATTACTTTTCTAAGTTTCAGAATTTATTTTAATTTCATGCATTTTCAGGTGTTTTTGAATGCTGTTTTCCTCATTTTTTGAGAGGCTATGTTCATTCATTGTGCTTTATACATCTTTGCTAACCCTCAGTGTGAGCATTGGATGTTGATATTATTGTCTTTAATAGTGTTCTGTATGAAGATGTGCACAGTGGTGACATTTGTGACGTCTAATGGAACAATAAATATGCATGTATAAATTCATATTATTTTGGGTATTTTAGTGTTTTTTAAAACAATTTTAGACATTAATCGTGGTCAGATTAGCATAGCGTAAATAATATTTTTTTGGTGCGCCCCTAATATAGGCGGGTAACATGTTTAACAATATTTTTCAATCATCAAAAAAAAAAAGCACGTAAGATCACATTAAAAAATTTTTTTATGTATTTATTTTTTAGAAATGTTCATGCTTTTGCCCATTTCTTGAGTGGAGATCTGACATGAAGGGAAAGAATTACTATATATATATATTACAAAATCAAAAACCTTAAAGTTAATTGTTTGTTACAATGATGGCAGATTTGACATTTTCAAGGCTACTTGACATTTCAAATTCAGTCGAGACATTTTCTTAATTAAGTTGTCTTCATTCTGCTAACACCTCGTTTTTTACAGTGAGCATTGGCTTGAAAATAGGCTCTTCGAAAGGATTCATCTCTTCTCAATTATTAAAGAGCAAAGTATAAATAGACGACTGTGCCCATAACGAATAGCTTAGAGGAAGAGAAGACAATCCTGGAGGAAGGGAAAACTGAACTAAAATGTATATATCTAACTATGTGCATATGTGTTTGCACAAACATATTCACTCTCCATGCACTTTGTAAACAATGTGTTTAAAAGGTGTTATATAAATAAATATTATTATATTACTGTTGGATATTCAAATAGAGGGCAAATGTGACTAAGAATAAAATTGTTCTAAACAGGAAAAAATGTGCTTTATGGCTTAGATTTGTGAATAAAATCTACACTTAAGATTTTTATTAAACTTGAACAATATTTTTTCTTTATATATAAATATGTGTAATTAAAATGATTGAAAAACATTGTCATCAATTACATAACACGTTATAATTAAAATGAGAGAAAATTAAAAATACGGTAAATAATCTATATAAATATTTTTAAGGATCCACATAATAATATTAAACAAAATTCTAAATAAACACACCAATAAATAATATACAAGAAAGAGGGGCAAAATACAAAATAAATTATAGAAAGAGAAAAAAACAAAAACAAATTGAGTATATAAATAATTATATTGTACACTTGGCACAGAAGATGACTCGTGATGAAAGGATGAAAAGACGTAGGCTGCGTTCCCCAGTTACGTCACAAGTAAGTGAGATTGAGGAGGGAGTGGAAAAAAAGAAGGAAGGAAGGAGGAAGGATGAGCGCTGTGTAGATAATGTTTCTCTATGTAGCCTGTGATTTACACCTGCAATGATCTAATGCAAAGCAATACAGACCCTTCTCTAAAAGCCATAAAGCAGCCCGCAAATGTGATGCACAGATTTGCACAATCAAAGCGACATCGCGCTTGTACCGGGTGGATGTTATATTTAAACTCTCCGTGAACGGATATTGTGTTTATTTTCTTCGGGTCGGTCCTGCTGGAGCTGCACCGGGCCTTTGCTGTGAGTAAATCACTTTTACGTGATGTCTGCGCTTGTTTGAGTTTCGTTTGTCTTTTGCATGGGTTTTATATGATGAAGTAGCTCGCAGCTGTTTTCTCCTGCATATCTGACAGATATCGTTTGATTAACGAAAGCCGGTTGTAATATGCTTTGCACGGGACACAAAACTTCACAAACAGCGCGCTTAAAGGTGTAGACGAACTACAGTACGCTGACGACAGACGCAGCCATGTTAATATTGGAAACTTCAGGGAACCGTCTCCCCGACAGCATATATTTTTAGACTAGAGAACGTCACATTGTATGAGAGCGTTATTATAAGAATAAAGCAGCAGTGATGCGTCTTTATGGGGTTCCGCGGAAAGTCCTCGTCCATGGTGCTGAAAACGTTCACCAAACGGGACCTTAACCTCTCAACAAACCATCAACCGAGCCAATATCACTTTCAAACCACTCTATCTGTCTTGTAGAGGTGTATATTTTACTGTTTAATCTCTAAACTATAACATAGCATCACAATAAGGATAATCAGAAAGCTGACTTTATATTTGTGTAACAAGGCAAATTGTTATTTATCGTTTTATAGAATAAAATGGGCAATTAAGTAATAAAATAGAATATTTATGTCAAAAGAATTAAAAAGCTGTTAATATGGGTAGCAATATGATTCACACCAGTTAAATTAAGATTAAAACAGTAAACAGAAGAAGCATAAATGAGGTACTCATATAAAAACACCATAAAATAGCATATTTTTAAGTTTTTATCAGGAAAAAGAAAAAGAAGGTTCTTAATGTAAATCCTAACCGCTGTTTAAAAATAAGAAAGCCTCTTAATGGTGTCATATTCAGTTCAGCTCATAGGTTTAAATATACCTTTCAAGATTTGTTTATATTTTTAAAGAAAAACAAGAGGGGCCTAATGTAATTCAGTATTTATTAAAAATAAATTTACAGTGAAACATCTGTCATTATCTGGCGAAGATTTGATATTCATAAATTGAACAGATATTCATAAATTCAACAAGACAAAAAATAATAGCTACTAATAATAAATAATAATGAATTTATGAACCAAAGATTAAATAACAAACAAAAAATCGAGTCAATATAAAAACACAAGCTTATTTTTTAACTCTTTGTCAAAACAACAACAAAATCAACAAAAACAACTGTTTAAAAGGGACTGCAACCTCCATCCATATCCACTCTCTAGAAATGATCACAGTCACTCAGCGGCCACAGTTGTATAACGTTTTCATGCAGTTTTTACTGTGTTTAATACCTAAAATAGGAACAATTAGGATAATCGAAAAAGCTAAAAATGTGTTTGCTCAGTGCAATGCAAACCAATCATTGTTAGTGCATCCTTTTGTTTGGATTACTGTAATCTGTGAAGTGTTGTGTTGTACTGAATTAATGAGGTGGAGTGTTGTAGAGACGTGTTTAAAGTTGAACTGGTCCCTCTGATCCTCACCTCCCTGAATCATCTCCTGTCGCTCCCTACTGTGATAATCGAAAAAGCTAAAAATGTGTTTGCTCAACAGTGCAATGCAAACCAATCATTGTTAGTGCATCCTGTTGTTTGGATTACTGTAATCTGTGAAGTGTTGTGTTGTACTGAATTAATGAGGTGGAGTGTTGTAGAGACGTGTTTAAAGTTGAACTGGTCCCTCTGATCCTCACCTCCCTGAATCATCTCCTGTCGCTCCCTACTGTGACCCTGGAGAAAATTCCAGTCCCTACAGCCCTCCCTCGCTATCTGTCACTTCCTCATCTATCTATCTATCTATCTATCTATCTATCTATCTAGTAACCTTGACCTCTAGGTTCAAGTGTATTCAATACAGAAGTCAATATTGATGAAAGCACTCTCTGTTCAATGCTTTGTCCTCCTGAAATGTCTTTGTAAGAAGCTGTATGTGTGTGTGTTAGACCCGTGTGCTTCTGTTTATTTTGCATGCTCGTGTTTGACCCACCCTGGATGTGCTTTTCCACTCTAAGAGTGGTTGAGGGAAAGCTGATAAAATCTTTACAGTGCAGGGACGGCAAACTGCCTCCATGTTGTACGAATCCTCCTCCTCCAGAACCATGTGTGGTGTAATTAAATCAGACAGCAGCTTATTATTATGTTTAACATATCTGAATGCCAACAAGGTCACGTCGAGCAGCTTAATTGCTTTGAAATGAGCTTGAATTGTGACCTGCTGAAATCAAACATGTTGTTAGTCATTTCTCTGTCTCTCTCTCATTCTTGTTCAGATGCAGTAATGGAGCAGCTATTATTTCTTGTAATTTTCTTGCTTCCTACTCTCATCTCGTCTATACATAATTCAACGACCGGAGGTAATGTGTGTGTGGATGATGTCTGGTCCGTGCATGTTGAATTTAACACCACAGAATGTCTAAAGTGGCCCACCTCTGTTGCTTTGTGAGATTAGAGGGCGTTCTGTTTAGATTCTGTAAACTGAGTTTCATGGATTTCAAACAGCGATCTGCCCTCAGTCCTCATGGGATCATGTTCAGCCGGAACTATAGAAGGAAAAAAATGGATTGCATGTCAGTTCCCTTTTTTCATTGTGAAAGCAATATATAGCCTACACAATCTAGATGAATCAAAGCAATTCAGTGTCACAGTTCAGCTTGTAGGTTTACAAGCCCCTTGTAAGTTGTAAAAAAAAATGTCTAGAATAATTTTTTTATATATGTGGGAACAATTTGACATAAGAGATTATCATAAATCGCACAAGACAAAAATAATTAATAATGAATTTGTAAACCAAATGAATGCAAAGTTTTGAACACAATTATTTTATACATATTTTTTTTGTTAAACTTTTCTTTAAATTATTTTTAATTATAGCAGTTAGTGAAGGGGATTATCTGTGAATATGCAGGTTACATAGTTATGCCAGTAGCTGGCAGCAAGTGACTATTTATAAATGAGTGAGTCAATGAATCATTGATTTAACCAATTCATTCAACCGTTCAACAAAACTGATTCATTCAGGAACATAACAAGTGACCTTATGAGTGAGTCATTGAATCATTGATTTAACCAATTCGTTCAACAAAACTGATTCATTCAGGAACATAACAAGTGATGTTATGAGTGAGTCATTGAGTCATTGAATCATTGATTTAACCAAATCATTCAACAAAATGGATTCATGCAGGAATGTAACAAGTGCTTTATGAGTGAGTCATTGAGTCACTGAATCATTGATTAATCAGTTTTGTTGAATGAATTGGTTAAATTCATTCAACAAAACTGATTAATTCAGGAACATAACAAGTGACGCTATGAGTGAGTCATTGAGTCATTGATTTAACCAATTCATTCAACAAAATGGATTCATGCAGGAATGTAACAAGTGCGTTATGAGTGAGTCATTGAGTCACTGAATCATTGATTTAACCAATTCATTCAACAAAACTGATTAATTCAGGAACGTAACAAGTGATGTTATAAGTGAGTCACTGAATCATTGATTTAACTAATTTGTTTAACAAAACTGATTTATTCAGGAATTTAACAAGTGACGTTATGAGTGAGTCACTGAATCATGAATTTAACCAATTTGTTTAACAAAACTGATTAATTCAGGAATGTAACAAGTGACATTATGAGTGAGTCATTGAATCATTGATTTAACCAATTCGTTCAACAAAACTGATTCATTCAGGAATGTAACAAGTGACATTATGAGTGAGTCATTGAATCATAGTTTTAACCAATTCGTTCAACAAAACTGATTCATTCAGGAATGTAACAATTGCCATTATGAGTGAGTCATTGAATCATTGATTTAACCAATTCGTTCAACAAAACTGATTCATTCAGGAATGTAACAAGTGATGTTATAAGTGAGTTATTGAATCATTGATTTAAACGATTTGTTTAAATCAACTCAAAATCAAATCAACATTTATTTCTATAGCACGTTGAAAAACAACACACTGACCAAAGTGCTTTACACTCTCAACATTACCACAAAAACACAAATTAAGAACACACCCAATACAAGTCACTACTCAGACTCCACCCCTGAAGGCAGTTGTAAGCAATAGAGTAGAGATGCGTTTTCAGCAAGGACTTAAAACATTCCAACGAGTTACAGGATCTAATATGAGGAGGGAGGCTATTCCAGAGGCGTGGAGCTGCCACAGAGAAGGTACGATCCCCTTTAGTCTTTAATCTTGGTTTCGGAAAATTCAAAATAAGACTCTGAGATGATCTTAGCAGTCTAGCAGGGCAGTGCCAGTGTTCCACAGAACTAATTCATTCAGAATCGAAACACCTCTCATATGTTGTTCATAGATGCTCAGTGTGGGTTTGTTTCAAATTGTTTTTGAAAACTGATACAAACTTACTATATTCTGTCTAAAAAGTTACTCAATATTTACTTTGTTCATTGAATTGTTATATAACAGCAACATCATCACACTCACAATTTTGCTGTTGCTTTGAATATTTGCTTTTTGAATATGAGATTTTCTTAAATATCTGTTTCTCAGAGCTGTACTCAATAAAAAACTAAATAAATTTTTAAGGATCTCTCTTTTTAAGTGCTAAACATCTTAAAGATTCTCCAAGGGGTATGAAAACTGTATTTTGATATGAGACAGTACCATTAAAATGATGTCTTATAAACCATCACTGCATTACAGTCTTGCAAGGGGACTCGGATATAAAGTCCCGGATATAAAGTTACCCGGAACATCTGTCATTTTAGTTTATTGATGTTAGATTGTGCATTGTGACTAAGCTGAAAACATTTCATCTCTATTCGTTTCATCCTCCCCCATCTCTCTTACTCTCTTTCAGGATGTGCAATCATTCGTCCCCCCAGAGACGGAGGGATTCGCTACAGAGGACTGACTCAGGAACAGGTAAAAGTCTACAGCAGCACATTAAAATGGCAGTCATAAATATCAATGTCAGTTCTGAAGGGACTATGACCCATAGCAACATCTAATTCAATCTACAAAATGTCTCTTTTTCTCTCTCTCTGTAGATCCGCAGTGTGCAGATCTTGCCGGTAGACTATGAGATAGAATATATCTGTAGAGGAAGCAGAATTATTGTGGGGCCCAAGGTCCGAAAATGCCTCCCCAATGGCACCTGGACTGACATGAACCAGCTCAGCAGATGCTGTAGGTGCCCATGCTGTCCTGTTGTATTGATTAATATCTATATTTATCACACAGCTCTGTGGAATACTGGATTCTGATTGGTCAATAGCAGCATTCCGAGTTCAAATGCCTTTCAAATGAACTAAACTGTATAATATACCAATATTTCTTATATTGTTCCACAGTACTCTCTCTCTCTCACACACACACACACACACACACACACACACCCTTTCTGATGTGATATGAGATTTGAAAAGGAAGAAAAAAAGTTCGGTAAAAGGCGGATTCGAACCCGGGTCGATCGCGTCAAAAAGACCACGGTGCGCGCTTTACCATCTACACTACTAAAACTGATGATTAATTGCCGTGTTTTATAGTGTTGACTTTCCCTATAACACATTTGTGGGTAGAGTTACTATAAATAGCCTCTATCAACAAGGCGGGCTATTTGCACTTAGTGTAAATAGACACACCGAAAAAAAATCCATAAACGCTTATAATGCGTGTATCTGGCAACTCGACTGAGGCTGAGCCCGCGTCCTCAATCACAACTCGCTCAAGGGACGAGGCCATGTAACCTTTTCACGATGATAATATATATATTTTTTAATCCAAATAGCTTGCTGAAATACTTATGCGGCCGCCTCATCTACGTCAGCCATGCTGATCATGACCTGTCATTTTCTTCAGACATACATACATTCTGTATATATATGTACGTGAAAGGAGAATGTATGCATGTGAAAGGAGAATGAAAGTGTGAGAGTGCCAGAATGAATTATGGCTTGTACGGCCCCTCATATATATATATATTCAAGTGAAATTCTACATGCAAGTATCTTTTTATTTAAATGTAATTGTCTGTGTGTTGTTGTGTTAGTGGCGTTACACTTTAAGGCTGTGTAATTTCAAGTTTATTTAAATGTGCTAAAAGGATGTGAGATGTGATAAACGTCTTGTTAAAATTCTCAGTATTGGTTTGCCCGCGTTCCTGGATGTCTCTGGAGAACGGGAGGGTGGCGCTGCTGCCCCCTGGACAACCAGTAGAGGGCACAGTTCTTCACTACAGCTGTCATGCTGGCTTCCTATTGGAGGGTTTCAATATCTCACACTGTACCAAGCTGGGCAAATGGGACTCACCTAAACCGTTCTGTGTCTGTGAGTATGTTTATGATTTAACAGTCAATCACATAAATGTATCTGTTTCCCTAATATGAATAATTTTAACCTTATGTGTCTCTTGTTTTCTTTTGTGCACCATCAGATGACAGTAACTATACAGGTAAGACATAAAAATGGTTATTTCATTTTTAATTTCAGAGGTCACATTCCCCAAGAATCTCATAAAATACTGATATTTTACAGCCCATGATAATCTGTTTATCACTTGACAGTCCACTTTGTTAGTTTGCTTGAAATATGTAAAAACAAACAGCAGAGTGTAAAATGACACTGTAAAAATTATATTAAGCTATTTTTTAAGAATACATTAGTATATGTATGGTGGGGGGAGTGAATGTACAGCGCTCTCTCCACCTTCAATACCACGACTGAGGTGCCCTTAAACAAGGCACCAAACCTCCAACTGCTCCCCGGGCACCGCAGCATAAATGGCTGCCCACTGCTCCGGGTGTGTGTTCACGGTGTGTGTGTGCACTTAGGATGGGTTAAATGCAAAGCACTAATTCCTAGTATGGGTAACCATACTTGGCCACATGTCATGTCACTGTCACTGTCACTGTCGTCACTGTCACTGTATATCCAATTTGTAAACCACAATTCCAATTGTGAAAGTCTAAATTGTTATGCTTAGTTCAACCACAAGGGGGCTGTATGCTCCCTCAATGCATCAAATAATTTCCAATATTTTAGAGCTCTTGCTCTCTCTCTCTCTCTCTCGCTCTCGCTCTCTCTTTCTCTCTCAGTTAAAACGTATTTGCGTGTGTCTGCATATATTATTGATATATAAATATAGATTTAAATATTTTTGATAATTTTTGCTTTTTATGTTTATAAATTCATTTTGTTTTACCATCTAGACCATTTCTGTTCCTCAGACTATCGCTGCATTAAATTATTTATTTGTGAACTGTTGTGTTATGTGGATGCACATCATGATTTTATTTATTCATATATTTATTTGATCAACAACTAGATTTTCAGTTAAAATATATAGGAATCTATATGACAGTGGTCCTGTAACTTGTCACCATTTTTCCCCCCACAATTTTTAAACAAATTTTTACCTTATAGTTTTTTGATTTGGTTATAAAGTGTGACAAATACATTTGTAAGACCTCATGGAGGACCATTCTCATTCTAGAGACCATTTGATTGGTCGGAAATCTGTGTAGTGCAGGATGAGTCATCAATATTTTTGTTCTCTTTTCCCTGGAATGAACACTGCAGTGTTTAGATGTATTTATAATGTTTAGTACATTAACATATGACTTCAAATCTAACATACGTGGTCTAAAAGCTACAAAACTCATTTTGATGTTATAGGGTTTTGAAAAGTACCAATATTCCATGTGTATATATGACAAACATTCCATTTTTATGATGTCATATAAGCTTCATGCTTATAAAGAATGAGCAAAATGCTGTTTAAAATAGTTTTAGATACAGTATAGAATGTAGGACATCAAGCTCATGTCGACTACCCCACTATAGAACCTCATTATAATTTTTCAGGCTGCCTCTCAGCATTAACACAAGTGCTCCTGCAAGCACGACTGTAGCACCCTCTCATTCATCCATCCCTCCCTCTAATTGCCTTCCATTCCTCTCAATCCCTCTGTCCTTTCTTTCATTTCCCCTCATTTCTTTCAGCTCTGCTGATTTAGACTATCAAGCCACGCAAATGCACTCTCTCTCTCTCTCTCTCTCTCGACTCCCTCTGTTAACTCACAGCGAGAGATCACCGCCTACTTAGTGCACTCTCAGCAGGCTGAAGATTAACACTCGGCCAGAGTGTGTAGCGCTGTGTGTATTTCTGCCCTGTGTGTATATGAATGTATATGAGGTTATGTGTGTATCTCAGCGCAGTGTGTGTTTATGTGTGTGTCTGGATATATTCGAGCCTGTGTGTACCGGGTGGTGATTACATCACTTTTACTGTGGTTGTTAAAGGAAAATTCAGCATAAAGGTGACCTTTTGTTTGCCAGCCCTCTGTAAACCCCTTTATGAACAAGAACTGACCTTGTACATAAAATTCTCATTCTGTTTTGTAAACATATTTAGTTATCGCATAAACTAATGGGTAATTATATATCCTCACAGGAGGCTTCTCCGGCCTTTCTTTTATTAAATAACAACTAAAGATCAGGGATGAATAATTAATGACTGGCATATGGAGAGAGCGGATTCAAAGGGAGCTCCAAATGTCACTGTCATCTCAGGTCCTGAGGTTCACAGTGGCTCAAGTCATCAACTTCAGCTCTACTCTGTTGTTTTAGAGTATTAAGAGTGAATAGTAGAATCCAGAGAGCTGTGCGGGCAATAAAAGCTACCTACATTATGTGTAAGGTGTCAATATTGGCAATGTAAGTGTATGTAAGTGCACTCTGAGATCACATGGATAGAATCAATCGATGGATGGATGGATAGAGGAATCTTTCTTGATTTTAAATTTTTCAGGATGTGAAATGGATACCAAATAAAAAAAGTCAAATTGAAGAACATACATGTGTTACATATATATCCATAGAGGGTTTAGATTTCTTTTGTTTTTCAATATAATTCTAAGGCAAAAATATGATTGATAGATTTTTGGATGGATGGAAGAACTCATCTTTTGATTGATGGAAGGACAGATGGACAGACGAACAGAAATAACAAGTAGACAGACAGACAGACAGACAGACAGACAGACAGATAGATAGATAGATAGATAGATAGATAGATGGATAGAGAATTCTAAAGGCTATTTTGATTGAAGAATTTTTGATGGATGGAAGAACTCAGCTATTGATGGATGGATGAACAAACAAACGGAAAGAAAGAAAGAGAGAGAGAGACACGGAGAGACTGAAAGCCAGACAGACAGACAGAGAGGCAGAAAGCTGGACAGATAGACAGACAGACAGACAGACAGAAAGTCAGACAGAAAGACAGACAGACAGAGAGGCAGAAAGCTGGACAGACGAACAGACAGACAGACAGACAGACAGACAGAAAGATAGATAGATAGATAGATAGATAGATAGATAGAGAATTCTAAAGGCTATTTTGATTGAAGAATTTTTGATGGATGGAAGAACTCAGCTATTGATTGATGGATGGATGGATGAACAAACAAATGGAAGGAAAGAGAGAGAGAGTGAGCGAGAGAGAGACACAGAGAGGCAGAAAGCTGGACAGACGAACAGACAGACAGACAGACAGACAGACAGAGAGGCAGACAGAAAGCCAGACAGACAGACAGAGAGGCAGAAAGCTGGACAGACGAACAGACAGACAGACAGACAGAGAGGCAGAAAGCTGGACAGACGAACAGACAGACAGACAGACAGACAGAAAGACAGACAGAAAGACGGACAGATAGATAGATAGATAGATAGATAGATAGATGTAGTACGTTCACATTATTTTTCCAGCTGAGTTTAGCTGTAACGTGCGTTAATCAACTGCATGACTTTTGAAAATGTTTTTGATTTAGTGAAAGTGATTCTGATTCAGAAGAGAGCGTTTACTTTAACCCCGCCCCCATCCCGCTATACAACAGTACTGTTCGTCTGTCAGTGGATCAGTTCTCTGCTGTCTGCTCTGAGTACGGATCTCAGTGTACTGCGCCTGGTGGTCAGTCTCTCCCCCTCTCCTCCCTGCGGATTAAAGGATTATGCCGCAGCACAATTGTTATTTTTTAATATTCTGATCAGATGCCGGAATAATATGCTCGACAGCTTAAAATTTACGCGGCGCGGTAAATAAAGCAACGCCAGAGGATCAGCGGAGCGCGTTCTGACCGTCAATGTCGCGCAACACCACCTGTTTTTCTCTCCTGTCGTGAACCATGAGCATAGCTGCACTACAAACACACCGTCTGTGGCTGTGAGAGAGAAAGAAACGATAACTGCCTATGGCGCATTTGTTTTTACCCAACATTCAAAGCGTGATTTCTGTAGCTTGGTGCTTTTACATGTTTGGACAGCTGGTTTGTGTTGAAGCGCATTCTGTGACAGGACATAGTAATTTAGTGTCGGAGTAGAAACTGCGGAGAAGATTCTAAAAGATTCCAAAGAATTCTAAAGACTCTAAATATACAGAAGATTCTAAAGACTCTGACGATTATAAAATATTCAGCATATTTCGATGATTGTTAAAGATTCTGCGTATTTCAAAGATTGTAAAGATGGAAGATTCTAAAGATTCTAAAAAAGTACTTCAGAAGATTCTAAAGAGTCTAAAGATTCTAAAAGATTCCTAACAATTAAAAGATTCTAACAGATTCTGAAGATTATATTTCAAAAGGTTCTGAAGCCTCTAAAAGATTCTGAAAGGTCTGCAAATTGTAAAAGATTTTTAAGATTAGACGGGGTCTGAAGATTCTGAGCTATTCTAGACGCTCTAAATAAGTTCCAAGAAAGCGCGCAAGTTGAGACGTCTTAACTGTATGTTACGACGCTAAAAGCTTATAGCCATGGCTGACTGACATCAGATATGAAATTATAACTGCTGTAAACATATAAATCCCAACGAGCATCCAGACTGTGGTTAAACCGCCTGCAATTTCATATTGCGCTTAAAGTGTTCAGCACTACTGTTTTTACGCGTTCCGTGCACGGTTCTGTTACTCTAAACGGGACTCGTCGCACGTGCGGACACTTTCGGCATCGGACACAACCGCACATTTTAAGTTCAAAACGTATAAATGTCAAATCGGATATTAATGGCATCGACGGGGAGGATCAGGACCTTGGGGAGAGTTTGGAGAAGCGTGGCTCTCCTTTACGCACTGCTTATCTTTCTCTCCTGGCCGTGTGCGGTTGCAGGAAAGAAGAAACTGTACATCGGAGCTCTGTTTCCCATGAGTGGAGGATGGCCCGGTGGTCAAGCGTGTCTCCCCGCAGCATGTTGTTTTGCTCAGCATTTAATTATATAATTGCTTTCAAAATTGCAGTAATACTTACATCTGCATCAGTTATTAAGCTTCTCCCACAAATGTGCAAAATTAATCCAAAATGAAAGCAAAAACAAACTGTTCCATCACCAGTGTTATTTTAGTATTATTGAGATTTTATTATAGTTTATATTTTGAACCAGTTTTTATTTTTTACATTTACTGTTTTAATTTTAATTTTAGTAAAACCTTTTTTTGTAATTTTGTAGTGTTTTTGTCATTTTTAGCAGTTTTCGTGTTTTTCTGTTTATATTTATTATTCTAGTCTCTCTCTATTTAGTTATTTTTGTACTTCAAGATAAACTAAATTAAAGTGAGAAATGTTGACGTGGCGACTAGTTTTTTTTAATGTGTATTTTATCTTAATGTGTATTTTAACATTTATTTCAAGATTTCAAAGATATTTTTATGGTTTTATTTTCAGTTTTAGTTTTAGTTAACTAATAACCCTGCCCAGCACATGCATTTGTAGTGTTTTTTTTTATTATTACATTTTGCATGACAATGAAATTGAGTTTACCACCATGTACTTCCCTTGGAAATCATATTAGCACTTATGCAAACTTAATTATGCAATAGTATACAAAGTAAGTTACTGAATACTTCTAATATATTTCATGCCATAGTTCCTGCAGATAAAGTCTTTATTCTATATCCGTTTAATCTCCTAATCCCACTGTCATCTTAACTAGTTTAATTGCATTACGCAAGCAATAGTGTTTTTCAACCATGTAGGAATGAATGTTACACTTTTCAGAAGCTTTTGCTAAGAAAGAAGAAATGTCATTGCCCTCTTTACCTTCTGTTAATTTATTAAAGTATTTCACGTTCAAGCACTGAAACAAAAATAAGTAGCAGATGTTAATTTAAGATGGTAGAAATTATCAGCGTTTTGCAGGTGCTTCATTTATGTTGTGGCAGTGATTGTATCTTGAGATTCAGGAGTTGGTGTCAAGTTGACATTGCAGTTGTTGGTACATTAATATTTCACAACTCACTGCACTTGGCTGTTATCAACAGCCTGTGAGGCTTCAGCTGCATAAAGTAATTTGGCTTACCAAAAATACTCATGCACCATAAATGCTTATGTTTGCCTTTAGCGTTGCAGAGTTTTCCAAGATCAACTCCAAAGTGTATTCCTCAGTCTATTTATTTTTAAATATAATTTTTTTGTGCAGTATGTATAAGTGGAGAGAGATTTTTTTCTGTCTTTTGTAGAAAGTTGTGTGTCCTGAGTTTCAATTCTGTCAACAGCCACAAATAACAGTGCTGTTAAACCATTCAATCATTTATATCCTCAAATATGCCAGTGCTGGTTTGATATAAAAAAATGTATGATAGTAAATATGTGCAAAAATGTGAGACCACCAAGACATATGTAGTACTTTCAGAAGTTGAGTTTAGTTTACCGGTGCGGCGTGACGGCTCTGTTGACGTGGCGACTAGTTTTTTTTTATGTGTATTTTATCTTAATGTGTATTTTAACATTTATTAAGATTTCAAAGATATTTTTATGGTTTTATTTTCAGTTTTAGTTTTAGTTAACTAATAACCCTGCCCAGCACATGCATTTGTAGTGTTTTTTTTTATTATTACATTTTGCATGACAATGAAATTGAGTTTACCACCATGTACTTCCCTTGGAAATCATATTAGCACTTATGCAAACTTAATTATGCAGTAGTATACAAAGTAAGTTGCTGAATACTTCTAATATATTTCATGCCATAGTTCCTGCAGATAAAGTCTTTATTCTATATCCGTTTAATCTCCTAATCCCACTGTCATTTTAACTAGTTTAATTGCATTACGCAAGCAATAGTGTTTTTCAACCATGTAGGAATGAATGTTACACTTTTCAGAAGCTTTTGCTAAGAAAGAAGAAATGTCATTGCCCTCTTTACCTTCTGTTAATTTATTAAAGTATTTCACGTTCAAGCACTGAAACAAAAATAAGTAGCAGATGTTAATTTAAGATGGTAGAAATTATCAGCGTTTTGCAGGTGCTTCATTTATGTTGTGGCAGTGATTGTATCTTGAGATTCAGGAGTTGGTGTCAAGTTGACATTGCAGTTGTTGGTACATTAATATTTCACAACTCACTGCACTTGGCTGTTATCAACAGCCTGTGAGGCTTCAGCTGCATAAAGTAATTTGGCTTACCAAAAATACTCATGCACCATAAATGCTTATGTTTGCCTTTAGCGTTGCAGAGTTTTCCAAGATCAACTCCAAAGTGTATTCCTCAGTCTATTTATTTTTAAATATAATTTTTTTGTGCAGTATGTATAAGTGGAGAGAGATTTTTTTCTGTCTTTTGTAGAAAGTTGTGTGTCCTGAGTTTCAATTCTGTCAACAGCCACAAATAACAGTGCTGTTAAACCATTCAATCATTTATATCCTCAAATATGCCAGTGCTGGTTTGATATAAAAAAATGTATGATAGTAAATATGTGCAAAAATGTGAGACCACCAAGACATATGTAGTACTTTTGCGGTTGCAGGAAAGAAGAAACTGTACATCGGAGCTCTGTTTCCCATGAGTGGAGGATGGCCCGGTGGTCAAGCGTGTCTCCCCGCAGCCCAGATGGCTTTAGATCTCGTGAACAACCGGACCGATATTCTGCCGGACTACGAGCTGGAGCTCATTCATTACGACAGTATGGTGAGCACATAACATTTTACATTTACAGTGTCCATATTACAGTAATGTAATGTAAATATACATTTATGTATATAAAATTATGTGTGTGTGTGTATATATATATATATATATATATATATATATATATATAGCCTATATATATATATATACTGTGTGTGTGTGTGTGTTATATTAATCTGAGCAGTGTAACTGTTTCAAAGATATTTTTATGGTTTTATTTTCAGTTTTAGTTTTAGTTAACTAATAACCCTGCCCAGCACATGCATTTGTAGTGTTTTTTTTTATTATTAAATTTTGCATGACAATGAAATTGAGTTTACCACCATGTACTTCCCTTGGAAATCATATTAGCACTTATGCAAACTTAATTATGCAGTAGTATACAAAGTAAGTTGCTGAATACTTCTAATATATTTCATGCCATAGTTCCTGCAGATAAAGTCTTTATTCTATATCCGTTTAATCTCCTAATCCCACTGTCATTTTAACTAGTTTAATTGCATTACGCAAGCAATAGTGTTTTTCAACCATGTAGGAATGAATGTTACACTTTTCAGAAGCTTTTGCTAAGAAAGAAGAAATGTCATTGCCCTCTTTACCTTCTGTTAATTTATTAAAGTATTTCACGTTCAAGCACTGAAACAAAAATAAGTAGCAGATGTTAATTTAAGATGGTAGAAATTATCAGCGTTTTGCAGGTGCTTCATTTATGTTGTGGCAGTGATTGTATCTTGAGATTCAGGAGTTGGTGTCAAGTTGACATTGCAGTTGTTGGCACATTAATATTTCACAAGTCACTGCACTTGGCTGTTATCAACAAGCCTGTAAGGCTTCAGCTGCATAAAGTAATTTGGCTTCCTAAAAATACTCATGCACCATAAATGCTTATGTTTGCCTTTAGCGTTGCAGAGTTTTCCAAGATCAACTCCAAAGTGTATTCCTCAGTCTATTTATTTTTAAATCTAATTTTTTTGTGCAGTATGTATAAGTGGAGAGAGATTTTTTTCTGTCTTTTGTAGAAAGTTGTGTGTCCTGAGTTTCAATTCTGTCAACAGCCACAAATAACAGTGCTGTTAAACCATTCAATCATTTATATCCTCAAATATGCCAGTGCTGGTTTGATATAAAAAAATGTATGATAGTAAATATGTGCAAAAATGTGAGACCACCAAGACATATGTAGTACTTTCAGAAGTTGAGTTTAGTTTACCGGTGCGGCGTGACGGCTCTGACCTCCTGTAGGTGAGGAAACAGTTAAAGAGTGCTCTGAGTGGACAGAGATGTGTTGTATCATGGTTGTGATTGGTGAACCGCACTCTGCATTGCAATCACACTCAATATAGAGGAAGAATCAAGGAGAGGAGGGTTGGCATGGCAACAGCCACCAGTGAAACCACAGTTCAAACAAACTTGCATCCCTGTAGATCTTGTAAGGATAAGGAGGTCCTTCTGCAGACTCCTGTGTATCTGCAGCACCTGTCTGACCACTCACTATTGAGTTGAATGGTAACAGTTTGTAATGTGTCAAGATGATCACTGTAGACCCAGTTAGTTCGTTAAACCTCCTGTTGGCTTGAGAAACTGTGATCCTTGAGTTGAATTTGACCCACATTGAAAAGCATTTAAAAATCGTAATATTTAGGATGCAATGGGTGTGTGAGAGATACTTTTTTTCTAATCCCAAAATGTGTTATGTTAAAAAAAAAATTTTTTAATATAATTTGTGCGGAAAAGAGAAAACTACATCTAAAGGCCTTTGTAAATATAAAATACTGTTAAAGTCCAGAAATGTTTCTTTAAATATGGGTTCAAATTTGAAAAAAAAAAAATCACTATTTTTTATTGATTTAAATAATATTTAAGTTACACTTGTTTATTGTATTAAAAGTGGGAAAAACACATGCATTTGTGTTGTTTTTAGTCTTGCATGAAAATGAAATTCGATTAACCAGTGCACTTGGTGGATTTTCCTTAGCGATCATATTAGCACATATGCAAACTTAATTATCCAAGAGCGTACAAATTAAGTTACTAAATATTTGTAGGAATATTTTTGTGCATTTCCTGTCATAATTAGATCAATTACTTATATCTTTTAATCTCCTAATGAGATACCAAAATGTGTTGTGTTAAAAAAATGATATTAATTGAGAGTTACGCAATTTATGTTGGAAAGAAAAAAATTACGTATAAAGGGACATATATTTCTGGGTCAAATATGGGGTAAAATTTGACAGTTGGAACTTTTTTTAAATACAATAAATTATTTTTTTATTATGATATGTAATTATTGTATTGAAACTGTATTCTATACAAAAAATAAATAAATGTAAAAACAAATTAGGACGAAGGGGTCTAATTGTGTTTTTTCTTTTCTCATACTACATTCTGATTATCAGGGTACATTTAATCATTTACCAGATACTTTTATCCAAAGTGACTTTTAAATGAGAAAAAGCACAAGCAATTTATCATACAAAAGGCAATATTAACAGTACTGCAATAATCTTGATTTGATTCACCTTAATTCATGATTTAATGAAAATGCTATGTACGATTCCAGTTATTATTAACTGCTTTCTAGAAATGTCACCCAATTCCACCCATGACTCAAGTCTCTTTTAATTTAGCATTAACCTTAATAAAAGTCTAAGGCATACTGCAGGTGCACAAGTAGAAGAATGCAATATCAGAAGATTGTATAAATGTCATGTGTTAGTATGCCGTGGAGATGGAAGAGCAGGTGTGAAGTGCTCCGACTCGTTGACATTTAAGCCGACAGATATTTTGAGCATTTCCTCTTGATTGGGGAGCACTTCATACCTGGATGAGATTCTAATCAAAATTGCTTTCGGGTGTCAGAAATGTAATTACAAAGGGAGAAAATCTAATTTGATGTGGGTTTTGCATTTAATTATTGTTCAAAGAATCTCAGGCATGTTTGGGGCATTCTTTTAATCTCTCTCAAATAGCCAATTATCACGCCGAGCAATGTTTGCATAGAAACATGGAAGTCACCTCAAAATTCCAATTTCATTTGACATTTGATAAATATTTATTTCATAAATGAGTGTTATAATAACCCCTGCCATGCTCTGGCAGCAGAACACAGATCAGTGCTTTTCTAATCCATTTGTTCTTTTAATTTTTTCCTTCCTTTTTTATGTGTCCTATTAAAATGGCACTTTGGACATTTGTTTTATGATAAATTGAGGCTAAATGGATTTTAGTAAGGGGTGCTTGTCCATGCAAAACTTATACGCTACGTTTCTATGATTTTCTAAATATGACTTGGGTTCTTTCTTTAGTGTAAGCCTATGGGATTTATTATTTTTTGTCCCCACATTTTATCATCTGCCTGGCAAAAATGGTTAGTCTGATCACTTAGACAAGTAATATCAAAGCTCTATTTAATAAGCCGTATGATTTGAGGCATCATTTACTGTACATACAAACAGCCGTAATACAAACAGCATGGAATTACACAACAAATTGAATATTTAGCTTGTTTAAAAGTATGAGAACAGCATTAGCATGCAACAGTAATAATCACTGTTGTCACTAATCAAAAGACTTGTGAGCTTTATTTTATTAGCCAGATATGCAATGGAAATTGTTAGAAAGAAAGAATGGCATTAGGCCACATTAAATTTGAATGAATGAATGAATGAATTGAGAAACTGAGAAACTGAAATTTGAACTGAGAAAAGAAACAGGATGCAGAATTAGATTTCTGAATCTAATAAATTAGAATTAAAACAAATTGGAATTCGGAGAAATTCATATTAACTGTATTTTTGAAAACTAGAATAGCAAAGTTTGTCAAGACAACCCATGTTTAAAAGTTTTAAAAAATTAGATTACATAGCATACTTTAAAAAAGAGTAGATATTGTTATGTAAATAATACACTTTAAAAGAATATACTTAAGTGTAAAATGTAAAATTTAAATGTATATAATAAAATAAAATTTAAGAAAATAAAATAATTTATATAAAATGCAATTTTAATAAAATTTATATTACATTTATAATATATTAGAAATACAATGAAATTGTATTATACATTTTTTTTAATTAAAAGGTATATTAAATACAGTTGAACTTGTTTTTACTAACTTATAGGACTTAAGTGCAATATTATATGTCATTTCATAATTCTTTTGTATTTGAAACATGCTGAAAGTGTACTGTGATATGTACTGACAAGCATTTATGGTAAACTAAATAACAGCATTAGCCTGCATCTCTATTTTAGAATGATACAACATTGCACATTTCATAATAAAAATAAATACAAACACATCTGACTTTTGATTCATGCTATGATACTGGTCATAAATGGAAATCTCAAAGACACAGTCTTAGACTCTGGTGTCAGAAGTTGTGGCCCATCTTGTGTGTGTGTTTTAGAGCAAATATTTACAGGAACCCACTTGCACAGATACACTCTCCCTCTCCAGACGGTTGCCATGGTTATATCAAAGCCCAGCCTGAAAACTTTGATCAATTATTAACTGTGATAGAGCGAGACCGAGGTAGAGAGAGAGAGAGAGAGAGAGGCTCATGCCCTGATGAGACACTTGTGCTTTCCCTGTTTTAATTGGCATCTGTTGTATCCAGATTGTAACAAGAAGGATTTCCATATCCAAATGCATGCTTTATTCATTCTCATCTGGGTTCAGGGATGCAGAATCGCAGCTTAGAAATGACAAACCAACACTTGCAAGTTAATGTGAGGCAGAACAGCAGATAAAGACTCATTCATGGTCTGAGCCACGGGAAGACGTGTTTTGCTTCATTGGAATGAGACATTTAGCATTTTAATCTGTATAGTAAACAAAGTTGAAGCTACAGATCTGGCTAGCAGCTTGCGCTGTATGTCTTTATTTTTACGCACACTGTGCTTGTGTTTGCCAAATATCCTTCAATAACTCAGTCAAAAGACTTTATAAGTATAAGTAGGAGAAATAAGGAATGGGATCAGCCAGGCCACATTAAATTTGAACTGAAAAAATGAAACGGGATGCAGAATTGCAATTCGAATTTAAATCTATGCAGAATTAAAATGAATCAGTATTTTTAACTAGAATAGCAAAGTATGTCAAGACAAAATTTGAAATGGCTTGACAAAGCCTTGTTTGTGTAAATAAATGTAGATACACTTTAGCAGAGTACTTATTATGCAAATAATATACTTTCAAAGAAATATATTTAACTACGAACTGAATGTAATGTTTACAGGCATTTAATGCTATGGTAATTGCAATTAAATAAAAATGTATTATACTTTAGATTCATATTAGGTGCAATTAGCATAACTTGTTTTGACCCACTTAAGTGGGACTTAAGTTCATTTAAGTACACTATAGATAATTTCATGATTATGATATTTTGTAAATTTCCTGCCGTAAATATATCAAAACTTACATTTTGATTAGTAATATTCATTGCTAAGAACTTCATTTGGACAACTTTAAAGGCAATTTTCTCAATATTTAGATTTTTTTTTTTTTTGCACCCTCAGATTTCAGATTTTCAAATAGTTGTATCTCGGCCAAATATTGTCCTATCCTAACAAAGCATACATCAATGGAAAGAAAAAGAAAAATTAACCCTTAAAAAATGGACCTTTAATCAAAATAAGTGTAATTCTTTAAAGTACAATAAAGCTTATTAAAACATAAGGATTTAAAATGTTCTTTAAAGGGATAGTTCACCCATCATTTACTCTTTCATTTACTCTGTCATCATTTACTCACCTTCCACTTGTTCCAAACCTGTATGAGTTTTTTTCTTCTGTTGGACTCAAAAGAAGTTATATTAAAGAATGTTGGTAACCAAATACCCGACGGTAGCTATTGACTTGTATAGTATTGAAAAAAATACTATGGGAGATAATGGCTACCGTCAATGCAAACTTAAGCGTGTTAAGAAACTTAGTAATAACTCTCTTTAAGTACAAGTAAGTGGCCTTTTATTTCATTAATATTATATTATATTATATCATCTGCAAGTACAGTTGTTAAATACACTTTTAAGAGTTGAAGTTCACTACAAGCGCACATTCAATACAGTTAAGTGCATTTATTTTCACAAGAGTATAGATACGGTAGTGTAGTCAAATCTATTCAAATTCAAAGACTTGTGAACTGATAAGTACCCAATTCTTCAATTCTGATTTTTTTTTAGCCCAACCCTGTACCGTTATGTCAGACCCAACAAAAACAAAATTGTCCTCGTGTCTAACAGCAGTGAGAGAAGGAGCATCTTGCCCCCTTTTTTTAGTCGGCGTTCAGTATTCTGGTCCAGAGACCTGCATAACCTTCAGCCCCGGGGACTTAAAGAACACAGATGCCTCCGTCACGTCAAGTGTCTTCAGTTCCTCTCGATGGCTGCTTCTCCGAGGCCGTGCGCTGAATGAAAACGCCTCAGCTCCCCGGAGACGCCAAGAGAGACTGGAGCAAGGAAACAACATGGCTCTTTGAGAAATGTACTAGATTGATACGACAAGTGATATCTGACAAAAATAATATTATTAGATATTCCTAGTAACTACTGGTAAGACGGATCCAAAGTGGTTGCTTTCTGACTGTCATCGATTTTGAGACCAGCACTGTGTCATTTAGTTCTAACTTTAACGAAAATAAAAGCATGCATGTCTCTCCTAATGAAGTGTTTCTGCTGATCATTACCAAGGGCACCATTTCAGTGTGACTGCATCTGCGGCGTGCGAGCAGTCACCCCCTCATTTGTGAATCACTTCCTGTTGTATTTGTCACAGTGAACTGCAGCACGAGAGGTCTTTGGTTACAGCATCACTGCAGTTCGTTTTTTCTGGGCCATGAGATACTGTGCTTGATTTCATTGATCCTTTATTGATTATGACATGCTCAAGTGAAGCTTTTACATCCTGTGAGCTTCAGTTAACTTTTTCAGAGGTAGTAGGCTAATTATGACTGTCTTGATGTTCTTTTTCTCTTTCCTTCAGTGTGATCCAGGAGAGGCCACTAAGCTGCTGTACGACTTGCTGTACACAGAGCCCATAAAGATCGTCTTGATGCCAGGTTGCAGCTCTGTGTCTACGCTTGTGGCCGAGGCGGCACGCATGTGGAACCTTATAGTGGTGTGTTTGCTATGTGTACATCTCGGTCTGAACTATTTACATCTGCATTGTTGATCATTGGTTTCTCCATTCACCTGGATTTGACTGTAGAATGTTAAGAGAGTTTCGTATTGGGAGGTTGGTTTATTGTCATTCCTACTGAAGCTTGTTTTTGCCATGGAATTAAAAACATAAAAAAGATAATTGTGACTTTTTATCTCACACTTCAATCGTCTTTTCTCAGAATTGTGAGGTGTAAACTTGCAATTGTGAAAAAAAAAGTCTGAATTGCGAGACATAAAAAAAAATCTGAGGAAAAAAGTCTGAATTGAGAGATGTAAACTCAGAATCGCGAGAGACGAAGTCTGAATTGTGAGATATAAACTCAGATTTGCAAGAAAAAAGTCAAGAGTTGTGGGATTAAAATGTCACAATTACATATTTATATTTTATTCTGTGACGGAAACAGGCCTCCATACATTCCTGATTAAACAAAATGGTAAAATGATAAAACAGTTTCACTTTAACTTTAACTAGATTAGAGATTTCAATGCAAAAGTGCTACATATAACAAGCAGTTCTGTGTTGTTTTTGGGTCAAGGAACAAAAAGAATTTGGACTTGTGATCTTACTGACTTTCTGTAGTTTGTTGACACTTTTGAAGAAGCTGACAAATTAAAACTGTCAAAAGAGGCTCTCAAGGAAGTCAGAGAACCGAATGAGAAAGTGTAAAAAAAGAATAAAATACACAAGATACTCTTAGCAATTTGACAAAATAATGAAGTTTTCCAATTATTCTCTTTCTATCTGGCATCCACCGAGGTTTGCAGGAATTTGGAAAGTAATGTTCTCAACACTGACTTTGTTCTTGACTTTCGAATGAGTTTACTTATGTGGAAAAGTTGAGTTTGCTGCATGTAATTTAGAAAAAGTTGGAAAAGGCGAATTGTGAGTTTACTTATAACAAATCAACTCTCCAAGGAAACCTATAAGACTTCAGTTACTTTTTTTGACAGATGGGTTTGTACTCTAGTGGATTATGACAGAGATGCTCATGAAAAATTAATAGCTGTTTATACGTGACAGTGTAGGCAAATCAACTCTTGTGAAAAAGAATTACACTTTAGCATACTTTAAAAAAGAGTTCTTGTTATGGAAATAATATACTTGAAAAAAATATACTTAAAGGGTTAGTTCACCCAAAAATGAAAATTAGGCTGCGTTTTACTCACCCCCGAGGCATCCTAGGTGTATATGACTTTCTTCTTTCAGACGAATCCAGTCGGAGTTATATAAAAAATTGTCTTTGATCTTTCAAACAGTTGCTGGGAGCATGACGTATGAGGTCAGCGTTGCGCATGCGCATGCGCCGGTGAGACTCGTGAAAACCAACGTTTGTTAACAGGATCAAAGGAAGCAAAGTTTCCTTACTTTAGCAAAGGAAAACCAGTCTCCTCTTGGCTTACATTCTTCTTTACAAATCCTCGTTTTATACTTCTAATTAGTGACCGTTGTTTTGTTTTGATCTCTCCCCTGCGTTTCCGCGTTCGTCACTTCTGAGCGGCGCATGCGCAAAGCCGACCT